CATGTGGGCGAGGACATACATGGGTGTAGGAAGTAGAGATGAATTGATCAAAGTAAACATGCTCGGCAAGAGATAAGTGCCTTAATCCCCAAGCATTGAGCCTATAGGAAACATTTTGAAGCAGGTTGCTAAAATAAGATTTGTGAAGTTTTCGTAAAGTGAGTTTAATCCCCAAGTATTTTAGCTCTTCCACCTTTTTGAATTGAAGGAATCTAGCATTTTTCTGTTTCCTCCACAATTTCGTTGCTTTGCTAAAGTTGACGATAGATATGGCAGTGTTAATTCTTTGGCCCGACCAGTTGCAATAGTCCTGCAAAAATTCGTAAAAGTTTTTGTTGCTTGCATATTAGCTTCAGAAAATAAAATAATGTCGTCAGCATAGAGGAGATGTCAAATGCGTATGTTGCTGTTGGCCAACTAGATGCCTATGTGTTGTGCTCTTTGAGAAAGGGCCGCAGAAAGGAGCTCGGAACAAATAATGAAGAGGTACAGAGATAAGGGGCAGCCTTTAAAACTGTAAGCAACTTCGATCCAAGGTGTTTGTTTTCCATTAACAAGTATTGAGAATTTTGGTGATTCCACACACGAGCGAATTGGAGTTTTGAATTTTTCTAGAAAACCCCATGCTTCAAGCAAAATACAGAGAGTACCATGTCGATCTTGATTGCCATAAGGCGCGAAGCAGCTGTGGAATTTTTTAATTTGTTGAAAATCTCTTGTGCAACAAGACAATTCTGCGAAGTAGATCTATGATGGATAAAGGCTCCTTGTTCCATATAAATGATAGAAGGGAACTTACCTTTGAGATGGTTAACAATGACCTTAGCAATGATTTTATAAATTATGGCACATAAGCTAATGGGTCGACAAAGGTTTGTTAAAGCTAGTCTAACCCCAACCCTATCCCATGGTTACCAAAATTGTTCCAATACCTAACTCAATCTCCACCAAAAAATCTTTCCTTTTGCTGATTTTGCAATTCAACCCCCTAGTTTTTTTTTCTCCCACTTTCGACCACAGTCATACGCCCCCTTTCACCCCTCAAACCCAACATCTAACCATGGTACCAAGAAGACAAGTGTTGAACACTATTCAGGAATTTACCATGGAAGAGATACAGTGGGAAATCTGCCATCTTTAACAACGGCTTGTTGAAATCAGGAGGATTGAGGAAGAGGTCTCTGTTGATTGTGGCAGCGTGATTCGAAGAGGAGAGGGGGGAACACCTGAATCCCTTTCGTAGGTATGATTCCAGTGAAAGGAAGGTAGGCCACATCACTTTGGAATTCAGTATCGGAGGAGGTCGAGGGATGAAGTGTCTTTTGAAGGACAAGGAGAGCTTGGAGTTAAGGTAGACCTTCTGAATTTCAAGGGGAGAATGAATTTGGATGACTTTATTGAGTGAGTACAGATTGTCGAGAGGTTCTTTGAAAACAAGGAGGTGCCAACTGACAAATAAGTGAAACTTGTTGCTGTAAAGTTGAAGAGAAGTGCGTCTTTGTGGTGGGAGAACTTGAAGAGAGAGACACAAAAGTTCATAACTAAATCGCTACATGGGAGAAGATGAAGGACATGCAGAAAATATATCTACTCTCAGACTACGACCAAAACATGTTCTTGAGGCTACATCACTTACATCACGAGGAGTTGTTAGTGGAGGAGTTCATGACAAAATTTGAGTAACTTAAGCTGAAATGTGAGCTCATATAGCTATATAAGCACACAATAGGCAGATACTTGGAAGCTTGAAGTCCTCCATCGACAATGTGGTCCAGCTACAACTTTATTGGTCATTGGGTGATTTTTAGATTTTGGTTCTGAAGGTGGAGAGATAGCAAAAACAGAACTTGAACCCACTTCTATTCAGGCAGTCACTCATAGCTGGAGGCATTGCCAAGAACATGTTGTAAAGACTGGTCAGAATGACAAAGCCGATTAGAGTGAGAAGAAGCCCGAAAAAAGTAGCACACCCAACACAGTTCTAGCCCTAAAATGCTTCAAGTGCCATAGATATGGACACATCGCTTTTAGTTTCACTAAAAGCAGAGTTATTTCATTTACCCATCAAGGTGCAATGGAGGAAGTGAGCAATGCAGATGTAGCTAAAGAGCAGGGTGAGGTGTACTAGCTTCCAGCGGATGAGGGAGAGATGCTCGTGGTTTGACAAGTCCTATAGAGTGAGTACACAAGGGAGCAACAACGACTTTGTCACAATATCTTTCATACGAGTTGCACTGTGAAGGAAAAAATATTCAACCTTATCATCAATGGAGGTAATAGTAAGAATGGAACATTAACACAAATGGTGGAAAAATTGAGTTACACTACTCGGAGACCTTTCCAGTCCTATTCCTTGACGTGGTTGAAAAAGAACAGGGTCAACTATGATAGGAGATGTCTCATAGAGTTTCTATTGGGAGCCAGCTACAGGATTATATTTGGTATGACGTAATGCCCATGAATGCCTATCACAAACTGTAGAAGTTTGCTTGCAGGATTTAACATGATAGATTCAAGAACACGTACTCATTCTCAAAGGATGTAAAGCCTATAGTTCTCATACCTTCCGAGGAGTTTGAGGTTACAGGTGCTCGACGGAGAGGTGCTAGTGGGATCAACTTTGGCGATGAACCGATGATATAGTGTAGTGAGACAGAATAGCTTATTTTATACATTGGACAACCAACATCGAGAGAGTTTAAATATATTATGACTGATAGCTTATCGTTAGGGCTGCCATCGTTAGGAGAGGTTCAGTAGTGGAATGAACGAACCTTGAGGTGTTTTTGGAGTACACTTGGCACGATGTTTTAGTTCAGTTCTGCAGAGTAACCACAAGTGGCTAGACAGAAAGATATGGTTACTCGCTGTTCGAGAACCTTTCTCAGGTGTTTTGGGAGATGGTGGATCGGACAGTGGAATCCAGGTGCTTCTGGAATGGAGTTGAAGGCTTTCCAATCTCAGGAGGTTACGACTATCCCGCTAACTTCAACGTGGCCAATCTGAAGCCATATTAGGATGAGTCAGAAGCTTCGATAGATGAGGTCGAACTTGCACCAACTACGGTAGACTAATGATGGAGCGCAGGGTCTCTTGATCCCTTGCTCGTGAGGCTTGATGGCCGGATCGCATGAGCGGGGCAAAACTGAATCAAAAGCCGTTTTTTTTTATTTCTTTTCGATTTTCGGCATGTTTACTTTTATCCTTCCTTTCATTCCAGTTCTTTCCTAAATATATGCTGTCATGTGTTCGAGAAAGCCACGATGTCTCTGTTTTTTCTTCTAGGGCTATATCATAGAGTCCAAGCGGTGCTCGGGCTTCATGTCGCTTTTGAGGTGGTTATTATCCTTCCTCTAACCTTCCCCATTCTTTCCGCTTCACTCCTCATCACCCTATCTTGCTGCTGTCTCCTTGAATAGATAGGGATTGCTGTTTTCCAGGAGTTTCGAGCCTCCACCCTTGTTGTCACCGCCCAAAACAACAAGTTTCTACTGTTTTCTGCAGCTTCTAGCCTTCCCTACCCCTCCAGCTTGCTGCCACCCCCCGGGACAGGAGCCCCTACTGCTGCCCATGCTGCTAACTGCATCTCCCTTGCAGCTGCTACCTTCCTTCGTGCTGCCATCACCCAGGACAGCCATTCCACGTTGATCTACGCTGCTTGTTTGCTGTCCGTACCTTCCAACATCCCGTGCCTTTCCAACCCTAGCCGATTACCACCACCCCTAGATCTAACCGTAGTTTGAGTTTGTGTGTCGTGTTTGTTGCTATTTCTTATTTTCATTTGTTGGTTGTAATTATCTATTCCAATTCAACAATGATATTTGGTTTTTCTATTGTTTGGTTGTAACTTGGATATCGTTGTAACTTGGTGGATTATTATAGTTTTGTATTATATTAATCTATTTGCATATGCTTTACTTTGCTTCTAGGTCAACATAATTCAACAGTGATATTTCATTCTATTAGAAATTTTAAAACATTCATGTGTACGTTTCATCTAAGAAGTCATCTCGGCAACACTATTAAATTTTGTACCATTTATATTAGAATTGACATGATAATAAAGTAGCATGAAACATGGTCAAATGTTTAATGAAAAACAAAATCTTTGCATTGGATTGCCAATGTGGATCTTCTTTGAATCTCATGTATTTTAACCGTCAAATCTCTCTCCCATAATCTCAAAGAAGCCATCAAATTAGGTCGTAGCATTGCCATTCAAGTATAATTATATGATCTACTCTAACTCGCTTAGGAATATTCTCTTCTTTTTAAGCTAACAATGTTTTGGTATTTCATAATCCAATTCCAAATAATTAGCATGATTCTTGTGTTACAGTTGAAAAGGTTCTTTAAATAAACTCAAGCTCACCATACACGTTTCCTACTGTTAAGCAGATGTTGTATCTACAGGCGTTTTGTGGTGGCCGTGAATTTTTATTGAATCTTGTACCAAGAGGAAAATATAGAAAATTTCGGGCAATTCTTGCCTATCATGTTCCGACAGCTCTTAGGCTTTGCTCGAGTTTTAGGAGGCTAAGAGCATATCCAAGCAATTCATATGATAATTTAGGCAAAGTATTTTCGTGCTTAGCATTCACGCAACTGCGGGATTATTTTGAGAAATTCATATTTTAAGTGGCTTGATTTCTGCGGCATTCTTACCATAATCCATTTGTTGCCAGTTTATTTATTTTTTGTTTCTTTGAACTTCAAAATGTGCCATCCTTAGTGAAACTTTTGTGGTTCTTTATCCTCCAATGAGATTACCCTTTATAGGAGGATATTGTTCAATCATCCTTAGTGAAACTTTTGTGGTTCTTTATCCTCAAATGAGATTACCCTTTATAGGAGGATATTGTTCAATCTGTCATTGAACTTTCTTTTTCACCAAAATATAAATGTTAGTCTTACTTTGTTTTTAAAATAATTTGTCTTAATCTTACGGAGAAATTATAATTAGTTTTGCAATGGAAGCACTAATTTATAGAAAATTGCAGCATTCTGTTCTGCAGAATAGCTTGTCTGCAGTTCATGGTTTATGGAAGGATTGCATCGAGCACTACAACCCTAGCATTATTGTTCTTCGAAAATTTATTTGGTCCTTCACAAAATTGCATGATCTTGAATCCGCCTACAAAGTACTGCAATATATGGTTTCTCTTGTTAAAAAGGGTTGTACATCTCTCAGAAAATCTGCTGCTGGAAGATATCAGTCATCACGGTTAGATATTCCTATACCACCAGCTTGTAAAGTATCACATACTGCAGATGCATGCTTTGTGCCTGATACAATAGATGATGTTTTCTCTGGGATGCATGGAAGCAATTTTTTTAGCGAGGCAAAGGAAAATGGTATATGCTCTGAAATATCTTCCGTTGCTTCTGAGAATAACGATCAATATCCATTGGAAGAGAAAGAGGAAATGAGAAAACATAAAACGAATTGCTTACAAATGAAAGATTTTGGTTATAGTATTCCAAAAGAAGCAGAGTTTGTACCAGTTTTCATTGTTTTGAGATGGTCATTCAATGATGTGATACAATGCTGCGCTCAATCTGGAACATGGGATTTGGCCGAGATCTTGTTCCTTCAGGTATCATCAATGCAACACTGTTTTGAGCTTTAGTGCGTATATCAAGTGCCAGAATTTTAGTATGTTCTTTTCCCTCCGCCTCCTTCCCCTCCCCCGTGCCTAATCCAAACCATCCAACATACCCACATAGCAACAGCTCGCCCCACAACTTAATTTAATTTCTGCTTGATTAGTTCTCTGTGGATTATTTGTTTATTTATTTACTTTTTTTTTTTTGGAAAATTTACATTCATTCCACACAATTCTTGTATACTTACATATCTGACACCTAAACTTTGATATTTATATTTATAACACTTTGATGTTATAAACTTATGCATTAAAAGTTGTATTTCATTTTTAAAAATTTAGTAATAGTGCTATTTTTGATCTGATGTTAAATATTTGAGTGCTTGCATATTTATACATGAAAGTTTAGGAGTTTGATATATAAATACATAAGAATTGTGTGATAAGTATGTACATGACTTTTTTTTTTGGATGAAATCTAATGCAGCTGAGCTATTGTAATTTACTAATCATCGCGAGCTTATTCATGGATGAGGCACCCCATGAATTTAATTAATAAAAAGAGAATGGTATTTACAGTTGCTAAATCGGTATTTTCAACACCATCTGTAGATTATGCATCAAAAGATATGACATTGGCCCAATCCCAACATCTCCTCGTGCATGGATCTTCGCTTCCATTTGATTTTATATAGGACTATATGTTGAAAATGTGTTGTTCTTTAAGTGTTGAAAGCATAGCCCTAAGAGAGATATTTAGTGTTGATATCTACAAACATTGTTCTTGTTTCACTTTCATGGTTCAAAAGGGGCTTGTAACATGAAAATGTTAGTTTATTACAATCTACAAAATTTGAATTAGCTTTCTGTAGTAGTAAGGGCGAGTTCAAGTTATTCAACCGGAATACATAATTGCAATTAACTAAAGTAGAAGCCTTAATTTCTGCAGTGAAATAAGTTCTAACTCGTTTATGATGTTATACTCTTTTATTAGATTAGAGGTATGTAAAAGATTTTTTATTTCTTTTTCTTAGCAAACTTGGAATTGTGAAATCATGCTTGCTTGCCACATAAAAGACTTCTTAAGTGGGACCTTTCAATGCCATTGGGCTGCTATTTTCTCTTACCTCTGAAGCGGGACCTTTCAATGCCCCTTGCAAAGATACATAAAATAATGGCATAAATTTTCAAGGCCTTACATATCAGCTAACACCTATGAATAAAAATACGGAAGTACACAGTAATCGAGCATGTCGCATCCATCATTTTTCGAAAGACACTCATGGGTAGTCATGACGGTGAAATGTCAACTGAATGATGTCAGCTTTATCGGTGATGATTATGCAACCTTTATCTAATATTCAGCAAATATTTTATGGTTATGTTTATAACATGAAGAATTTCATCATTTTTCGTTGTAGATTTATGTCATTTATTATTATGTTAGGGACCATGTCATTGTAACAAGTGATGCACTACAGATTTAAATATAAATTAATTTATATGAATCTAGTTTGGGAGACGATGTTGATAGCGGTTTATGCATTCTGAAAAAGGGGCTGTACTGACTCTCATGATGGATGTATTTGTTTAGGATAAAATTTTAGGATGCTTCTGCATAAAATCAATATTTCAAGCGGTACGGAAGCACCCAATCCTCTAAGCTTCTCTCTCCTGGATTTTTAGAATGCTTCCCTTTGTGTTAGGCTTTCTTTTATGGGATTGCTTTTATTTGATATCTTAATGGCGATAATCTATTGCAGCAGATTTTATTGTGCCAATCTCAAAGTCTTGTTACTGCTTGTGTGTGCGTGGTTAATTCAATTTGGCTTTGAATTTTGTTGTTTCTCGGATGGTCTCCACAGAATTTTTACCTAGTTTATGTTTTATTGATGTGAACTTTGTGCTGCATTGGGCCATGCTCTGGATGCTTTATTCTTCCTGACAAATGGCTCCTCTCTTTGATTTTACTGCTTAAGTTATTTATAGCCCGGTTTCATTCAATTTTCTTTCGGGGCTAGCTGTATTTTCTTGAGTCTTATTCTGGAGGAAAGCCCTCACTTGTATTCTGCGATTTGTTTTTTTTATTCCTTTTAAAAAAATATAAATTAATCAGAATATCCATATTCCATATTTCTATAAATAACGATATGGGTCTATCCACTTGGAATATCTTAAAATGAATAAATAATGAACGCAACTCCTCCTTTTCCTCTTTTTTTTCTTCTCCTTTGTCTCTTCTTCTCCTCCTCTTCCATCATTTCTTCCTTGGGGACAAATAAGCTAAATCTCGGGATTTCTCCACTCATCAAACTACTATTCTTTCTTCTCTTTTTCTTTATAAAATTTCAATTCAGTTGTCTCGAAATTAAGGATTCGATTTAAAGAGAAAATAGCTATTCAAAAGCAACTTTGAGAGAAGAAAGAAGAAAATCAAAATAGAGATCATCATTAATGGTGAATCATCAATTTTGTTTCAAAGTGTCATCAACGCCTTGCTATAACTAATTGTTTTGAAGTTATTGACATCTAATCCCTAAATACTCATTACTTATCTATCCTCCAACTTTGTTTCCATCTTTCGTATTGCATTTCAAGCTCCCTCCTCCCAATCCATAAAATATTAAACTAATAAAACTTACCCACTCCCTTTCCTTAAATTTAACTGTCAATCTTTGTCAACCATCTATCCATCCGCCAGAGTCTTCTCTCTAGAAAAAAAAACTCCGTCCATTCTTCCAATGCCAAATATTAAAAGTATTATGATTATTAAATAATGAATTAAAGAATCTACGGATTTATGTGTTAAATAAGGGAAATATGTCATGGATTCATGTGTTTAACATGAAAAGTGGGGTCATAGATTGCTCCTTCCTCTCATCAGCTAAGATAGGAATTTTGGACTATAGTTTTAATTTTTAATATCTTTTTGATTAGTAAGTTTAAATTAATTTTTAGTTAGTTTTGTGTATGTATACCCATTTGAGAAATGAACAGATTAAGCTTTTATTCACTTCTTTTCTAAATGCTACCATCGAAAGGTTAAAGTCTTTTTATTTTCTATCTTCTTAATTTTTTTTCTACTCCTTTAGTTTGATTTTCAGCATTGATGATGTTAACTTTTGGAAGGGAAGTAAAAGAAAAATCTGATATAACAAGGAGAATTATAGGGTCAACAAACCTAGTATCATTCAAATGGAATAAACTACATGAAGTAGCCTCAAATTGTGAAGACATTTTGGGAATGAAAGAAAAAAAATCTATAATCATGGTTATCCTTTTCCGATTTGAAAGACCTGAAGTTTACACAATGAGCTGAAGCAGATTATCATCATGCCAAAATAATTTGACTATACATGTTCTTACAACGGCAAAAGATATTTTAGAAGCTATCAAACCAACTTACTTTAAAGTTCAACAAACTGCTTTCATCTATGAGGCCAAAGCAAAGCTCTTAACGGCCAAATATCTTAATTCTTCTGTCAGTGAATATTGCATTGTAATGAAGCTCTATTGGCTATAATTCGAATACTAACAAAATCTCAAGAAGAAATGTACTGATGATGCTCTGATTCTCAAATAATTTGTAGAAAGATAATGGATGTTTGATTTTTTTGCAAGACTTACTTATGCATTTGATCAAGTTTGTATTCTCAAAATTTGAGAATAGTTTTCTCTCTCATATGATCTAAAGCAGAAATGGATGGTAATGCTCAACACTCTCAAATATTAAATATTGGCCATGAAAATCATAGATTGCAAGGTAAATGACTTGCCATTGAATCTTCCCAAAATGAAGAATAAAAGTCTCCCCCCAGAACCAACCTGAAATGTAAGTACTGCAAGAAAAATAAGCATATCAAAGAGACATTCTGGAAACTATATGAATAACGGCAATATTATGGTGGAAACAAAGAAGGCCAATCAAAAGGAGATGCTTATCTTATTGAACCGGAAGGGCTCAACTTAAAAAAATTGACAAGCCGATAAACTTAATCGATTCTCTTTTAAAATATTGTGTCATGCCTTTTAGTTCAAATTGACATAAATTTTAATTTTTGTACTTATAACGAGTCACCCACTAAGCACATTGTCAAATTTTGTTAACATTTTTCGAACTTATAAAGCTTGTCCTAGTAATATAAAAATAAAGTAGCTAATTGCTCCTTATTCACTATTGTAGGTCAAGCGAATTTTTTTTTTCTATTGCATTTACTCACAATAACGTGTTTTATATTTGTAACCTGGTATTAATGGTGTAACTAACCCAAGTCAACTTAACTCGTGAGCTGGGTTGGGCTTATCATGATAACGGGCTTGTGAAGGGTAGGGTTGTAATAGTGTCGTGTTGGGTCGATTATGTCATGGATTGGACTTGGCTTGGTCAAATCACAAGTTCGTGTTCAGTTCCATCTTGAGCCGAGCTTTTACATATATGTTCATACTTGGCTTGCTTAAACTTTTTAATGTTCATACTTCATTCGTACTTGGCTTGTTTATATTAATTAAAAAAACTAAAAATTTCAACGAGTACTTAATATTTCATATAAAATTAAAATTTTGATTTGTGCATGATTTATCATATAAATCTAGTAAAGAAGCTAAAAGTCGAATGAGTACATGAATTTTTATATTAAGTTTTATCAAATGATTTTAATAAATAATTTAATAAATTTTAAATTAGCAACTAACTAGTTTATACCAAATAAATAAAATAATATATAAATTGTAAGTAAGTTTTTTTTTGTAATCAAATAATATAAATAAGTATTAATAAACTAGTTCATTGAAATAAAAAAAATAAGAATTAATTGTATTAAATTTATATGCATATTAAAATTAAATTATAATAAGTTCTAGTTAATCAAAGTTTATTTAAATAATGTCATATAAATATTGAGTATTTAATAAGTCACTTGTTGAACAACAAACGAGCTTGTTCGTGAATAATAAACGAGTTGGACTATGTTCAAATTTTTTTCATTTAGCCTTAGAGTTAAAATAAAAATGTTAAAATTTGTTTATTTATTAATTTGAATAAACATGGTCGAGTATTAATTGAGCCAATTTTGAGCTCATCGAGTGCCTTGGTTCATTTATAGCCCTATGGGTGAGTGATCCCCACAATTTACTTATCACATGCAAACTATCATTCGTATCTAAGAGATCTCTCTTCCTACCTACTTGCAAATATACTTCTTTTCTGTCCACATCACCGTTTTTTTTGTTTTTTCATGTTTGTGCTGATAAGCTGAGAAGCAGCCACTTCTAATGTGAAAAGTGAGTGTATCTTCACTTATCACATGCAAACTATCATTCGTATCTAAGAGATCTCTCTTCCTACCTACTTGCAAATATACTTCTTTTCTGTCCACATCACCGTTTTTTTTTTGTTTTTTTCATGTTTGTGTTGATAAGCTGAGAAGCAGCCACTTCTAATGTGAAAATTGCATATCAAGGCTTGTTTATTGAATCTTTGTTTATTTTTCTCTGATCAAATTAATGTACTTATTGCTACTAGTTTTCTAGATGCAAGCGCTTGGAGTAGAACCATCGCCTCATACATATGATGGCCTTATTAAAGCTGTCACTCGTGGAAGAGCGCTAGATTATGGCTTGGAATTGGTATTTTTTTTTTTTCCTTATAACTTGCCTTCAAATTCTATTTTGAGGAAAAGCGAATCATTAGGATGGAAAAAACTATGAAATCTTTTTGAAGAATGCTTGGCAAACCATTGCATTATTTTGTATAATTCTTTTCCCTTGCTGTTTTCTTGGCTCTTTATTTCTTGAAGTCTTTGATAATGGCATAATATTATACGCTTTGTCAGCTTTATTCAATAGAGAAAAGGGGCATGCAACCGCACAATGATACTATTGCAATTCTCTCATTTGAACACAGCAAGATTTTGGAGTTGAATAAGGCAGAGAGTTTATTGGAAATGATATCTGATAACCTTCAGAAGTACATCCATCCTTTTAATGCCTTCCTGGTAGCATGTGATATCATGGTAATTCTTCAAAGGGATATTTACATACATAGCACACAATTCTTATGTGTTTTTTTTTATATCCACATCTAAACCTTCATATTTACATATATAGCACTTTGGTGCTTTAACCCTATGCATGAAAATGTGTATTTCACTTTTAAAAAGTGATAATAGTGCTATTTTTTATGGGATATTAAAGATTTAAGTGCTTTGTGTAAATATGAATATTTAGGTGTGAGATATGCAACAATAGAATTGTGTGCTATGTATGTAAATTTCCCTTCTTCAAAAGATTCTTTTGCAAAGGATTCTTTTGTCGTATATAATATGAAATGTTTTGTTTGGTTGATTGAAATTTTAGTGGAAGTTCTTTATACTTTGTTGCCTGGCATGTCTTATATATACTCACATGGAACTTGTATGTTTGTTTGTGAAAATTATTGTCACCCAGTGTACTTGGAAGTTGTCTGTTCATTGTTTCATTATTGCTGTCTTTCAGGATGAGCCAGAACGTGCAGTTCGCATATTAGTTAAGATGAAGTGTTTGAACTTACGCCCAAATATCAGGACCTTTGAGCTTTTATTTTCTTTGTTTGGTAATGTTAATGTCCCCTATGAGAGAGGAACTTGGCCTTCACATATGCATGCTGCCGAGAGGATAAGACAAATAGAGTTGGGCATGAGGAGAAGCGGAGTTCAACACAGCTATATGTCGATGAAGAATCTGGTAACTATATTTTTTTCATGAGTTCGCGTGATTTTCGTGAGTTCTAATTTTTTCTATGGTTAAAACATTCTGGTATATTTACTTGATTTTTTGTTTGCAACATTACTTCGCTCATTTTCTGTTGGAATTATAAGAAAATATAGTAGGGGTTTTGTTCTAGTTGCTAATTAAACAATTTGAATTAGAAAGAGGTAAAAATTGGAATATGGCAAGCTCGAAAGCAATGTGCGTGGGCTGCAATCGTCAACCCTACATTTAAAAGTGACTTATCTGAATATGGGCAACAGTGCATCTTTGGTACATTAACTTCATTTGCTTGCATGGATCCGCCTTGCTCTCAAAAGATGGGAGATCAAAATTTTATTGTATGTATGGTTCAGCTTATTAGTATTTGTAATTATTATACACACACAAAGTTTCAGTTTACAGCAATAAGGGATATCTGCTGTTTTTGTTACGTATTTTCCATAGTTCTTCTCAACTGTTTAATCTTTTTAGTTCAAATCCTTGAATATTGTTTGATATCGCGCTATTGCATGATGGTCCTGGAACAGTTTCTATACCCACCCTTATGACAAAACCTTGTTTCATGCTCAACCTTAAATCCGAGATTTTCTCCATCTTAAGCTTGTTGGGCTACAAAACTGTTAACAAATATGTAGGTTTTGGGATTAAAGCAGGATAGTATTATAGATAACAAAAGAGCTATAAATATATGATATAAGGGGCATAAAAAAGGAACGATATGCTCTCTAAATCTCTCATAATAACACCCAAAAAATAAAAAGAAAAGACAAAAAATAGGAAATACATAGGAAAAGAAAAAACAGGAAAGACAACAAAATAAATAGAAATAACTTCTAACACTCTCCTTTAAGTTGAAGCATAGATGTCAATCACATTCAACTTGGATTTGAATTCATCAAACAATGGTCTAGGAAGATTCTTTTTGAGAATATCTGTTAGTTGACTAGTGAATGGGACAAATGAAATATAAATCTCCCCAGAATTGAGGTTCTCCTTTATAAAGTGACGATCAATCTCGACATGCTTGGTACGATCATGTTAGACCAGATTATGAGCAATGCTAATTGTGGTTTTACTATCACAAAACAACTATAGAGGAATGGAGATTAGCATTCGTAACTTGCGGAGCATGATGCACAATCATTAGGATTCATATATCCCAAGGGACAAAACGAAACTCATCTTCAACACTGCTCTGGGCAACCACAAACTGTCTTTCACTTTTCCGCTTGACAAGGTTTCCTTGCATGAAGGAGCAAACCCGAGTTAGTTTGTCGATTCCGTACAGACCTGATCCAATCGTTGTCCTTATAAACTGCAACAGAGTGGTGAGATGGTACTCATAGGGATCGTGCATGAACTGACCGACCTTACCAACGACGTGCAAATGTTCAGACCCATATGGGCTAGGTAAATAAGTTTCCTCACTAGTTGTTGGTGGTGTCTTGTCCACCAGATGACATTGAGAACATCTGCAATTTCTCATTGGAAATCATTCAAACAGCTACTGTGCATCAGTTAGTGAATCTATCTCATATTTGCACAGGGAGTGGCTAATGCTCTGAGAGGCCAGACCTACTTCTATACCTAGGAAATATTGGAGAGAACCTAAGTCCATCTCAAAAGATGCAACTAGGATAGATTTGAGAGATTACTAGGATGGCAGATCATCACCTGTGAGCACGATGTCGTCGACATAGACGATGAGGATGGCAATACAGTATCTGGCTGAGTAACGGAAGAACATCGTGTGATCAGATTGGACCTTCGAGAAACCATGACTCGCAATAACTTGTGTAAACTTGTCGAACCAGACTTGGGGGATTGTTTCAATCCATAAATAAATTTCACTAATCGACACCCTTCTCCACGGGAAGAGGTTAAGTTAAAAACTAATGGGAGAAATATAAACACCTCCTCTGCAAGATTACCGTTAAAGAAAGCATTCTTGACATCCTGTTGGAGTAAGGGTCAATCTAGATTCGTGGCAAGGGATAACATAACTTGAATGATATTTAGTTTAGCCATTGGAGCAAATGTTTCTTAATAGTCAATTCTATAGGTTTGTGAATAGCATTTGGCGACTAACTGCACCTTGTTGCGTTCAAAAGATCCATCAAAGTTAAATTTGTTGTTGAAAATCCACTTGCAACCTATTGCTTTCTTTCCTTGAGGAAGATTGGCAACATCCCATGTATAGTTGCTCCAAAGGGCATTCATCTTGTTCATGACTACAAACTTCCAGGACGAGCGAGCCATTGTTGCCTCAATTAGTGGATGGGAGACAACGAATCGTCAAGGAAATGGCAAACGCTTTGGAGATAAGCTGTGGAATGAGACATATTTTGCCAAGGGATAAAGAGTGCATGCCTTCCTACGCACCTCAATGGGGAATTGAACTCTTCATTTTGAGTAGGAGTGATCCCCGTAAGTTGAGAGAGCTTCGTTTCAAGGTTGTCAGCCTGAGTGGATTCCAAAACCTGTAGCGGGGTAGCAGGTTCGTGTGTAGGGGCATTGGGATGAGTCTGAATCGTGGGTTTGTTATGTCGAGTATATACACGCAGAGTGGATGGATCTGATGTTGGTTTGGTTAGTGATGGATCCGGTTAGACTGAGGGTTTCTCTGACATATAGGTTGTAGGAGTAGACAGAATATCCAAGGGAGTTGGAAAAGGAACAGTGTCCAAAAATTCTAGCTCCCCCTCACTTGAGACAGTGTCAGGGAAGTAGTGGACATTTAAAAAAAAAAGACACCGACCCTCACACACTCACATAGATTTTACTAGTGGTAGGATCAAAACATCTATAGCCTTTTTGAGTGCATGAATTGTCGGGAGCACGCATTTAATTGAGAGGGATCAAATTTACTTTGAGTTGTAGTGCTTCGAACAAAGCGCGTGCGTGCAAATATTTTAGGATCAAATGCGGTGAAGAATCAGCTTGTAGGAAAACACAACATCAAGAGGATAGAGTGGTCCGAAAGTTCTGGATTTTTGTGGGAACTTTATTAATTAGATAAGTAGCGGTAAGGGCGACGTCATTCCAAAATTGTTTAGAGATGTTAATTTGAAACATAATGAAATGATCTACTACGAGAATGTGTCGTTTTTCTGTTTGGCTATCCCTTTTTGTTGAGGGTATCCGTACATAGGCTATGGCGGAGGATACCATTACTCATTGAAAATTCTTTTAAAAGTAGGGTTAAAGTACTCTCAAATATTGTCGGTTCGAAGTACTTGAATGGAGGTTTTAAATTGGGTCAAAATGAAGGAATGCAAGTTTTTGAAGGTAACTGTTGTTTCAAATTTGTCCTTTAATATATAGACCATTTCATCTGAGTGTGGTCATCAATTAAAATAAGGAACCACCGTTTATTGGATCATCAATTAAAATAAGGAACCACCGTTTATTGATGTAGTTTGTAGTTCTAGAGGGTCCCTATAAATCACTATGAATCAGTGATAATGGAGAGGAAGGTGTGTAAGAGTGGGGTAGATATGGAACTCGATGAGGTTTAACTAAATGACAAATTTCACATTTAAAAATTAGAATTCTTTTTAATAAACATCAGAGGGTTTAATTTTTTTAAATCGTGAAAATTGGTATGACCCAAGCGACATATTAAAAGCATAATTGGACAAGTGGAAAGTGAAAAACTACAACTACAAGATTGAGTGTTGTGTCATCAATGCCATTTTCGTGGAAGAAGTAAAGCCCGACTACCTACTTAGTAGTTCCAATCATCCTCTGCGGACGATGATCCTAAAAGACAAGAATATTAGGAGAGAAATGAGCAACACAATCAAGGTCATATGTCAATTTAGTGGCTAACATGAAGTTACACTTAAGCAAATATACATGTAACACGGGTCCCAGAGTCAGCCTGACTGTTAGTACAACCGAACCTTTACCTACAACAGAATTACTGACTAACAAGAAGTTACACTTAGGCAAATGTACTTGTAACACGAATCCCAGAGTCAGTCCGACTGCTAGCAACCGACCCTTTACCTGTAATAGAATTATAGGAACCATCACCAATAATAGTCTCACCCTGAGCACGAAGTATATGTTGAGAAGATTTGAGAGCGCCCGGTTAAGTGGTCTGTGGCAACTGAATCAATAGTCCTCGAACTAGAAGCGAGAAGATTTGAGAGCGCCCGACGCCCGGTTAAGTGGCCTGTGGCAACTGAATCAATAGTCCTCGAACTAGAAGAACAAGAACCAGTGATAGAAAGGTTACCTTGATGAACATGGGAGTTTGATGGGTTGAAGGAGAACTGACTGGATCAAGCAGCTTAATTAAGTGTTCCTTCTAACTCTTGATAGAGTTTGGTGATTCCGGGATGGTCCAAGTGGGGCTTGATTGAACGGTTGTGGATTCTGAGGTCGTAATGAGAACTTTAGCAGCAGAAGATTTGGTTGAAGATTTATTAGCAGGCTTCATGTGGAGCTTCCAACACTTATCACGGGTATGGCAGAATTTGTGACAGAAATCACATGTAGAGTGATTGGCGCGCGACGACGTAGCAGAGTGTGGAGCACTGTTGGAGACCAATGCTGAAAACTCAGTTGAATTAGTGGAGTTGTCGAGCATGACAAGTCTCCGATTTTCTTCATGACAGACCTTGGTGAAAGCTACTCTGGATGAAGAGGATCACACCCAAGCATACGACCATAGAATTTGTCGAGATCCTTGTTGGCCCGTCAGAAATTGAAACACAATCATTTTCCATAATTTATTGGAAGAGGGAAAGATCTGCATGAGAGTCCCACATGTGGTTGTAGTAGAGGCCACATTCTATCCATAAGGAAACCAAGTTATTATAGTACTGTGTCACAGTCTTTAACCTTTGTTTTGCCTCGCGGATCTTATTAGGCACCTTGTAGAGTAGGTGCGCAAACCATAGTCCAAGGGGCACTTGCTGACAGAAGAAATAGGTAAGAACGGCCAATCGAGAGCTCCATGGAAT